ACAATTATTGGCACCCAATTATTGCAACATCCTTTTCCCAAGATAACAGCTCTGAGTTTTCTCCTATAATGCCTGAAGAGTTTGGAGAACACCTGACAAGAGATCAGAGACCATCCCTTCATACAGAATCTCTCCAGATCCTTCAGATTCACAACATTCATGTTGGTGCTTCTTCTCTTCAGTTCCCCCCACTCATTTCCTATAGGGTTCAGGTCAGAGGGCTGGGACGGCCATGGCAAAAGCTTCATTTTGTGCTCAGTGACCCATTTTTGTGTTGATTTTGATGTTTGTTCTGGATTATTGTCCTGATGGAAGATCCGACCATGACCCATTATAAGATTTCTAACAGAGGCAGTCAGGTTTCGATTTTTTATCTGTTGGTATTTGATAGAATCCATGATGCCAATATCTGAACAAGAAAAAAAATCCAGCAGAAAAATAGGCCCACAACATTAAAGACCCAGCAGGATATTTAACTGTGGGCATGGGCTACTTCTTATCCCTGTTTGCAACAAACCCATCTGGTGGTTTTGCTGCCAAAAAGCTCTTTTTTTTTTTTTTTTTCATCTGAGCATAGAAGCCAGTCCCGTTTGAAGTTCCAATCATGTCTGACAACTGAATATGTTGGGGTTATGGTTTATCTTTATACAGAGGCATATCTTCTAGGTTAGGGGACTGATAGTGATTCGGTTCTTTCCATCCACGTTCCCAAGGAGGAAACTTCGGCTTTGCCAGTCCAGGGACGAAGTGCATCCTGTCGGCATAAGTGATCGGCTCCAGTCCGGATATTTCATGGACCACTCGAGGTTTTCTTCTCGGAAGAATCTTCCCATATAAACAAGAGCTGGTGGATAAGCAGCGACGTCCATGAGGAATCATAATGAGGACACTATGACTGTCTTTTGATTTACAGTTTTGAGTTATTTTATAAGCCGACGTGCTAACTCTTTGCGCTGTTGCTTTAAACATTTTTACTAGCATGTATAATAGGTGTCTGAAATTAATATACTAGTCTATGTTCAACAAAACCAAATGATGTTCGTCGTTGTGACATTTTCTCTTTGCACTCAGGAGGCGGCCATGATTGTACGACATCACGTGGGGAAGTCTGTCTTCTTCTGGAAACGTGCATGTTAACAGATATTACGCATCACTGCCATCTATCGATCATTGCAGGTTACTGCATAAACGTACTCGAGGCCTATGTACTCACTGGCCACTTTGTACGGGTTGGACCCCTATTTGCTTTCTGAACTGCTGTAATTCTTTGTGCGCATCCATGATGCAAATCTCTAATTTCACCACATCCCTTCTGGACTGAGATCTGGTGACTGTTGGCGGCCATTATTTGAGCTTTGTGACATGCCGCGATATCCTGCTGGAAGTAGCCATTACAGAATTAATTCATAAATGATGCACATGGTCAGCAACAATAGTATTGTTACAATACTCAGGTAGGTTGTGACATTTAAATGGTGCTCAATTGGTATTAATGGGCCTAAAGTGTGCTGAGAAAATATTCCTCACACCCAGGGGCACCGAAATGGGGGGGGGTTAGGGCGATTCCAAAGGCCCGATGGGAGGGGCCCCGAATGCGATTTCTACCGAGGGGGGCCCACCTTTTTCCTATTGAGCCTTCTGTGTTTTAAATTATGGGAGGCACTTCTGGTTTGGGAAAGTTCCACTCAAAAAGGCTAAAACAAATAATTTAATATCATAAAGTTGCAAATAAATTACAAACAATCCTTATATGTGTCAGTTTGACTTAATGAGCTGTAAATTTTCCTTCATGTTCTATTTAATAAATATAAATATTACTTAGTGTTAATGTTAATGAACATGACTTGTTGGTGGTGTTAAATATAATATAATATAAAATATGATATAATATAATATAATATAATAATAAAGTATAATTTCCTTGCCATTTAAATCATACACTGTGCAAAAAAGTCTGCTTTGAAGATTTGTTTTATTGCTATGACGTCTTGTCGCAATTTTGCGACTTTGGCGCTAAGAGGGTTAAAATAAAAATTCGCATTCAAATGAAAAAACGGTATATTTGAATTTTAGGTGTGCATCTGGGAGCCTTATCAGCGGCGCACGAGATGCGGTGAGGATGATGTTGTTGCATTTTAATGTTTTTGTTAGTCTATATCCAGTTGAAACCACAAGATGCGCCGCTGCTGCTTTTCCCATTCAAAATATATAGAACTATAGAAGCTCAAGCGGAGAAGATATTGGTTAGGTTAAAACCGAAACCAAGCCATTGACGCATTCTTGAGACGCACAACTATGCGTCTCGCACAAGAGATGAATAGAAAGCCATGTAAAGTTAAAAGAGGTTCAACTTTTAGAAAACAT